GCGGGTTCAGCCTGTGAGTGTCTCATATGCAGCTTCTTCTTTTTTTTTTTTTTTGAGAGATCTCACTCTGTCAGCCGGACTGGAGTGCCGGGCGTGCAGCCTACGCTCAGCAACCTCCAACTCTGGCTAAGCCATCCTCCTGCCTCAGCCCTCCCGAGTAGCTGGGACTAACAGGCAATCGCACCAATGCCGCCTAAGTTTTTTCTGTATATTTTTGTTGGCCAATAGTTTCTTATGTTTTTGTAGAGACGGTCTTGTGTGGGGTAACAAGCTAACGTATCTTGGCTTCCTGGACCTTAGCTTTTTATAATTCGCGCTGCTTGCTGCACTTAGCCTGACTGAACCAATGAAAGGACTTCTACAAAGTAAGAAGAAAAACAACAACAACAAAGGCCCCAGGGAGGCAAATCTTTACTGATAACAGTGCAGAGTCCCTGACCTAGCCAGCCAACACAGGCGGCGTGTCAGCGGTGCGGCTTGATCGCGCGTGCGCGTCCGGGTAGCCCAGGTATCAGTGTAACCAGAACCCGAGTTCTCAACACCAGAGTATAAAACTGTGCTGGCAAACCTTGCCAAAGTCCTTGTCTGAGAGACCAAACGGAGCGGAGCTCTGGACCTGGACCCCACCCAAGCTCGAGCAGCTTGAGAGACCTCCGTTTGTGCTTTACGTTGTGTGAGCTTGTTACCCCATTACTGTTCTGGGAAGCAGAATCCTTGACACACACTTGCTCTTGCTCAGGCTGGGTCTCAAACTGCTGAGCTCAAAGGATCCTCCTGCCTCGGCCTCCCAGAGTGCTAGGATACAGGTGTGAGCCGCCGCGCCCGGCCCATACATAGCTTCTGTTTCAGTGTTTCTAGAAGCGTGTCCAGGATGCTTTTCAATATGCAGATGCTTGCACGATCTCAGACCTTACAGAACTAGAGTCTCGAGCCATAAGTCTTACGCTCGTCATCGAGGGCTGAGCCCGGTAGGTTCCGACGCGCGCAGGCACTGCCTTCCATGTCAAAGCAAATCTCACTTGCAGTGAAGTCACTTAGGAAACCACAGCCCTCCCAGATTAAGGTTCCTGTGTCCCCTCCTGCCTACCTCCTGTCTTTGGCTGGGACGGGCGCAGGTGTCACAGCCCTGGGCTGAGAGGGCAGAGCTGAGTGCAGACGCAGAAGGGAGCGGGGCGCCGCTCCCTTGATCGAGAGGGAACAAGAGTCTTGTCGGGTCCACGGCGGCAGCGTTCTTCCTGTGACTGCTCCTGCTGGCAGCCAGAGGAGAGGGCTCAGGCTTTGTTTGGAAAGCCGGACGGCATGACGTCCTCACGCCTTAATCTCCAAAGCAGAGAACGACAGGCACAGACTGCAATCCAGCGGCCTCCCCCTTCGCAGGAGTGGGCAGGCTTACACTCCAGGTAAGGAAACATTGGACCAATCCGACAGCACTGCCCAGAGCTCGGGGCTTTGGAGTGTCCTGAGCACACCTTGTTCTAATGAAAGGCCGCGGCCCCCGCGGCAGGCTCGCCCAGCGCAGCGCTGTGCGTCCTGGGAACTGCGCAGCGGTTTCTGGAAGCGTCACGGTGGCCTGTGCTGTCTATGTTGTTTGAAAGGAGTGTCAGCCTCGCTTGAAGCTTCCAAAGCTCTACCGGAAACGGAAGAGATAAGCAAAGAGCAGGGGCCCATCAGCTTCATCATTTTCTTTGTGTCTATTATTGCAGATGCCTCTTTTTTTTTTTTTTTTGAGACAGAGTCTCACTCTGTTGCCCAGGCTAGAGTGAGTGCCGTGGCGTCAGCCTCGCTCACAGCAACCTCAGACTCCTGGGCTCAAGCCATCCTCCTGCTCAGCCTCCAGTAGCTGGGATACAGGACTGTGCCACCCTGCCGGCTAAGTTTGTTTCTATATATTTTTAGTTGGCCAATTAATTTCTATTTTTAGTAGAGATCGGGTCTTGCTCTTGCTTAGGCTGCTCTCCAACTCCTGAGCTCAAACAATCCTCCAGCCTCGGCCTCCCAGAGTGCTAGGATGACAGGCATGAGCCACCACGCCCGGCCTGCAGAAGCCTCTTGTCTGGGGACCAAGCTCGCCAAGTTGGGGCATCCCGGCTGCTGGGAGTGCTGCAGTCCTCCCACCACTCCACACCCCCTGCCTACCTCTTGGAACTGGGCCGAATTATTGGAGCTGCCTGGAGTCCCCTTCCTGAGTCCCCTGGGCCTGACTCCCTTCCCGAAGGGCTCAGGGGAATCACCCAGCAATTTTGTTCTTTTTGAAATCCCGGTCTGTGCCTCCATTGTCCCTGGTGTTCTCCTTGGCCCCAGGCTCACGACAATTAGTTCAGGGCAGGCAGATTCAGACTTGAGCTCCCAAACTGCAGCATTCTGAGCCCTTCTGCCCCAGTCTGGCTGCGCCCAGCCCGAGATGCGCCTGAGTCACCGCCCAGCTCCTCCGGGGAAGCACGAGTTCGACTCCTCCTGGGTGGCCCCGCACGCAGCGATTTCTTTCTTTCCGCTTCCTGGCTCTGTGGACATGACTTTAGGCATCTCTTGGCTGCCCGTCAGAAAGCCCGGTTTTCCCAGCATCTGTCTCAGCACCGAGCTTCCAGTGGCAGTGCCCTCTGCCTTCCTAACCTTTTGTCATCCGGCTCCGGGTTGCAGAGGGGATTTTACTGCCTGCCAGGTCAGGCTCAGTGTCCTGTGGCTAGAAGAAGGCTTAATAGGCCAGGCGCAGTGGCTCACGCCTGTAATCCTAGCACTCTGGGAGGCCAAGGCAGGAGGATCGCTCAAGGTCAGGAGTTCGAGACCAGCCTGAGCAAGAGCGAGACCCTGTCTCTACTGAAAATAGAAAGAAATTAATTGACCGACTAAAAATATATATATATATAAAAATTAGCTGGGCATGGTGTTGCATGCCTGTAGTCCCAGCTACTCGGGAGGCTGAGGCAGGAGGATCGCTTGAGCCCTGGAGTTGGAAGTTGCTGTGAGCTAGGCTGAGGCCACAGCACTTTAGCCTGGGCAACAGAGTGAGACTCTGACTCAAAAAAAAAAAAAAAAGAAAGAAAAGAAGCCTTAATAATACATTTCCTTTGTGTCTGGACTTGCCAAAGTTTTATGGATTGGCTCTTGGGGAAAAGGCGCTGCAGAGCTGCAGCCCGCAGCCGGCACCGTGGGCCCCTCGGGGCAGCCTGCCCCCAGCCCTGCGCCTTTCCTGCTGCTCCGCTGCACTCCGCCCAAGCTGCTGCCTCTGCCGGGATGTCCCGGCCCCTTCCGCCCACCGTCTAAGGGTCGTGCCCGCTCCTCCCTACCCGGCAGTCTCTCTCCCAGGCCTTGCGCGCTCAGCACGCTACTCGGACATTTGCTTGACCCTGAGAGGCACAGGTTTTGGGTTGCAGATGCACAGTGGTTTCCCCATCCTTGCGGGCACGTCCGAGAGCCCCAGTGGATGCCGAAGCCGTGGGCAGTACCGAGCATGTGTGCGCGGCTGCGCTTGACCCTACACGCACGGGTCTATGGTCAAGTTTAATTTCTCACTGAGGCACAGTAAGAGGTTCACAGCTAATAATAGAATAATTATAACAATATATTGTAATGTGAATGTGGCCTCTTACTCTCTCTCAAAGTACCTTCTTATACTGTGCTCACGTATTTTGGACCACGGGTGACCATGGTAACTAAAACCTCAGAAAGTGAAACCTTGGAAAGTGAAACCGTGGATGACAAGGGGGGACTGCTGTGCTGAGAGATTATTCACAAATTACAGTTTGCCCATTCAAATTTAATGGTTTCGGTACAGTCATGGAGCCGTGCGGCCGCGTGGTTCACAGCACCTGCAAGCAAGCGCCCCGCACCTCGGCGGCACCTAGCCACCCTCCACCCTTCCCAGCCCGCGGCAGCCGCTTGTCTGCTTTCTGGCTCTGTGGATTCGCCTGTCCAGGATATTTGTGGAACATTCTGGAAACAGAACCACACTGTTTGTGACCTGCTGTGACTGACTTCTTTCACTTAGCTAATGTTTCAAGATCCATCCGTGATAGCATGTATCAGGGGCAAATTCTTAAAACATCTTAACATCTCTGAAATGAAGATGCATCTTTTTTTTTTTTTTTTGCAGACAGAGTCTCGACTCTGTTGCCCCAGGGCCTAGCAGT